CTCTCTCTCTCTCTCTCTCTCTCTCTCTCTCTCTCTCTCTCTCTCTCTCTCTGCTGTGCGCCAGCGCTCTATCCACCTGTGCCTAGGTAACGTGATCACGCAATTAATAGCAGGAGCGCGCACTCTGTTTTAGTGGTGCGCGTGCCCGCAGCGCATTAGAGGCTGGTGTACTGTACAGTCTTTTAGCTCGTGGAACAGGACATCTGAATTGCTGTTTCTTTCATAAATCACTGGATTGGGGTTTGTTTGTTGTTGTTTTAGTCTTTTGAACTATCGCAAGATATCAAAAGTAACAGGTAAGCGCAAACTATCTTACCTCCAGTGTTATTGTGGTGTGTTTACTGACGTTTCTGCTGCGGTATTTCATAACTCACCGTTAAACTTGTTTGTAAAGAGACTTTGTACTGTCACAGGAGCGGTCAAAAACCGTAAGTGTTTTAAAAACCATTGGTTAAATATTTACAACTTTCCTTGCATTAATGAGACTTTATGGAAGCAGGTGGAAACATGAATCAGTGCTCGTGTGTTCTGTTAAGTGTAACGGCATGTCGTGAACGAGGGAAGCACGCCCCCTTACAGCAAGTGCGCGGTCCCGTGGCTTGCCCGTTAAACCTGGCTGAGTTAAAACTGTTACTGTCGCGAGGAGCTCCGACCGTGCCCACCGCGAGGACACGTCAAATCACAGTTGTACTCTCTCCTTTCGCAGGGTCAGATCAACGGAGTCCAACATCTTCGTGGCATAACAGAAGCGGTTCTGGAACGGGAAAGAACGCTTAAGTCGTTTTATGGAGGCTTGTGGGACGCAACGAAACATTTCTTAAAGTGTTGGCACTGAGGATATCAGTCCAGATCCACCTTTAATTCGGAACATAGTCTTGTTTGGATTTCAGCCTGTTTGAAATGTGGCGTTATGTGCTCGAGATAAATGTGCTATGTGTGTGATTTGGAGAGGATCTTGTGGAAGGTGTCCAGTGGGAAAGAGACTGGGTGGACTCATCTGCAACTGATCGCCGTTTTCTGAGCGCAATGGACTTGGAATGAAGACAAAACATGGATATAATCTGGGAAATATTTATTATCCTTCAAGCCAATCTCATCGTTTGCACTTCAGGTAAGATTGCACATTGATTCTTTTGACAATAAGTGCTTTATATTCTATTATATTCATTTGTCCCTATTATTAAAATACTATATATATATATATATATATATATATATAATTTTTTT